TACCTTCATTCTTTTCTTGAGACTACTCAGTCTTCAAGAAATGAAGTGTGATTTTTACAGTTTACATGGCAATGATTTATATGAGGGTGACGGCCTGTCACATGGCAATCCTTGACCCCACATAACATGATGTAAGTGTAAGAATCACACTCTTTCTCAAGGTCACTAGAACCATGACACAGGTCTCAGTGTTCAACACACCACCCACAGAGTGGGGCTTTGCCTTTTTACTTTTTTTCTTTTCTTTTTTTTTCTCTTTTTTTTTTTTTACCAGCTCCCTGAATTACTTTCAGGTAGTTCTGCATGTTTCTACTTTTTCATTTAATTAGGTGCAAACACTATGTATAAATAAAATAAAAAGCTCCCTGCAGCTAGTGCACTGTTGCAGACTGCCAGACATTGAAAAATGTTTGTCTCCATGACTAGTGCTTAATAATTCACATTTTATAAACAAAGAAATCTTTCTCTCCCTCTTTTTTTTTTTTTCTCTCCCTTCCCCAGGCTTTTAGAGGTTAGAATCTTGGATACAGCTGCAGAATAACTTTGAATCCTAGTGTACAGTAGGTGAACTATCAATGAATACAATAGGTGTACAGTACTGCCAGGGTTTCCCAGCTGCATCTCAGTCACACATACTCCATATCCTTCAGGACCTGTCAGTCATTGCARTACTTGTATGTAAATACTATATTGTCCAGTAGATATTTGAGATCCCCTTTACATGGGATTTGTTAGCCTGSGGCACAATTCTTTACAACCTGTTTCTGGCTGCAGCTGAAATCATAGACTTTGGAAAGTAAACACACCCCATAATAATTATATGACACTACAAAGATATCTGTAAAGAAATTTGTATTTGTTTACTATGAGTATCTCAGAACAGTGTGTAAATTCTGTTATGTCCATTGATAGAGTCTAAAGAGTTAGTTAACACTTACAAGTTGACATGTTAATAAGCTACAGAACCCAAATCCCCTTGATTCCTACAATTAGCACCAGTGTAAGAAATCAATTCCCTTGTGAGAATAACATATACTGATTCATATTTTAAAAATTGGTTTTTTAAAATTGGTTAAAAATTGGTTATGATAACTTTTGACTTAATGTGATAACCACAAATGATTACAAAGTTATCCAGTACCTCTATTTAAAGCCAACATTTTATGTAGGCTCTGTTGCTAAGTATGTGGCACATAGCAAGAAATATACTCTAATTAGTCCTTTATGTCATTTCAGCTTCATCTGGAGACTACTTCAGAAATTTCAGATTGTATGATAACATCTAATGATCATACCAGATAAAGCAATTTAGTCAGCACCTTACTCTCATATTAATTCAGTGCTCTCTTAAAAAATAGGATGATAAGTAAACCTAAAGCCTATAAGAGATTTAAATTTGGTTCTTGAAACTAGATTATGCAGATTATCAACATCTGAAACTACTGCATTATGCAGGGATACAAGTCAAACAGAATCTCATGCTTTAGTGACAGAGAAGAGAGGTATCTTTCTGAACTTAAACTTTATGTCAGTTGTGCTTTATTCTGATATGAAAAGTGACCTTTTCTACGACTTTTCAACATTCTTCAAGGACCATATTTTTTGCCACCTGCAGCACTTGAACCAATCTGCCAACATCTGCCCAGGTTGGCTTGAAATAGCAAGTGTTTCCTTGAAGCCTTAGGTTCTTAGGCCCTTGATCTTACAAAGACTCAAGATCCTGTGTAAGAATTTGCAGAGTTGGAGATTCTAGATCTGTGATGATCTTGTAATTTATAAACTTTTAATAGCAGAAAATAAATATTCCTAGTAATAGATTAAGAGACCAAATATAATAAAAATAATCATCTCTGTTGTAACTACATATTCCTGTTTTTAATGTCTTTGTTGAAATTTGACTCAAGTGAACTTATTTTATGCATTTTTTTAATGTTAAAAATATTCTTTTATTTGAATTACATACTCCAGGTGTAAATATAGATATAAATGCTTCTCAAATGCTAAAGGTCCAAAGCATTATTGTGTGCTTCACAGTGCATGAGTAGTGTGCGTGCACACATTCACATGTGTATGTACATGCTTTACGGCCCCGGGCTTTCACATGTCTCACTCCCTCTCTAAAAGCCTGCATGCAGTGAAACAGTGTTTTATAATATATCACATTGGCACATTCACTGCTCCCGAGGCAGGCATGATCTATGAGTTGTGTAAAGTTACACGTACAATTAATCTTTTATAATGTATCATAACACATTGCACGTTATACACTGAATAGTCTGACCAATGTGTTGCTATAGTGCCATGAATGCCAGAGCTTTTGAGCAAAAGGTTATGTCTATCTTTTTTTTCTATCTATTTTATTTTTAATGAGACCAAAATCTGAATTAGGATCAAGATAAATTATGGGTTTTTATCTGATTAACATTGATTTCAATACAAAATGTAATTTCTCCAGCTTTACAGATTTCTAGATTTTTCTAGATTTTTGATATTTATTATAAATTTTCAAAAATATACTAGGAAGGAGGGATTTTTAGGGAAACCTAAAAATATTAGGTTTTAAGGACAACTGATTGGCAATAGGGTACTTAACATACAGAAGTTAGCAATTGCTAAGCATCCTTTATCAAAATGCTGAAGTAACTTAGAGAGTCACTTTAGAGCTGAAATGGGATGGGAAGAAGCAGCCAGATCACTGTACCAACTTCATGTTTTCCAAAGGGAAAGGATCTTGTACTTYCTTGTAATTTCTTAAAATCAGTAAGATGTTCCACTCAAAAATACAAACAGAGATTTTCCAAGAGGAAAGCCAGAGTGGCAACTTGCCTTTACATATATCAACACAAGAAAACAGTCCAATTATAGCAAAATGTTAGGAATCTCACAGACCTTTGAAATTTTGGATGGAAATCTAGAAGACAATGTTCTTTCCCATAACACTTTGACCAAACTAATGGGGGAGTCCAACAAATGTCCAACAGGTCCAACAAAACCATCAGTCCTAGTCAAGGAAACCTATAACTACTGCTGCGATCATGCTAAGTATCTGCTAATATCTGCGGGTATTGCTGTAGCTGCTTATTAATTTTCATGGAAATCCTTTGCTATCTCACTTAAACTGTGTAGATTCAACATCTCTCTTTTTCTTATGATTTTCTCTCTTTTTCACTGATTTTCAAAATAGGTATAAAGCTATAAGGAATATAAGAAGGTTAAATTTGTATTTTATTCCATTAGTTGTGTCACCAGTGAAAGGAACACATAAATAAATTTAAATGATTCACAGTTTTCTACATCCTTTTCTGTTCTGTTTTATGCTAATTTCTGTTGTATATAGCATACAATTTTCATGAAAATAAAATGTTACGGAATTACATTAGGCCAACCATTGTAGACTAACAATAAGAACAGGCAAGAAACTGCCCTCCCTTCTAATTCTGGTGATGTTCCTTCCAAGTTACATTGGCAAGGCAATGTAGAGAAACTGAAGTAATCTTCTGTAAAAACAGAAGATTAAAAGCTATCAGTCTGAAATCTCTCAGCATGTCATACATGTGCATAAAGAAGGGGAGGAARGATAAGAATCTTTAAACAGAATCAGGGCATTTCCTACCCAGATTCAACCAATGTGAGAATCTTTAAAGCTTCCAGCACCACAGTGTTGCGTACTTGAATATCACACATAGGTTCCTCAACTTGAGTAATTTCAGTCAGACTGACATCAATATTCTGCAGGTTCATCAATATCAGAATATGTCTGTAACCATCTAGGAGCACCTTGTCCTTTATGAACGTGGAGTCTTTGGTGCTGAGAAGGGATGGTCAGGTTCTGATTTCTCTTATTCATGGCTCAGAGGTTCTAGCAGCCTGAACATTTTTGCCCAGCTTTGAATTCTGAGGGAAAAAATCTTAAGAAGCTGAAATAAAAGCAAAATAAGATGGGAATATGAAAACAACATTTCTGAGCTCTGCTCAGTTCCAACAGCAACATAAAACTATTCCATTTATGTATTTAGCGAAATAGATCCTGGCATCACTACCAGTATATTTCCTCTTTTGTGGGGGTTTCTCTGCAGTTTTGTTTGAACCAATTTAGGACATCTCATTTAAGGCATATGAGAATAAAGGACAGATGAGACTGCTCTAAGTGCTAATGGGAGCTGGAAATGCCCTCATCAACCTCCTTTGGAGAATTCAGTTCTTGACGAGCACCAACCCATTCATCTCGGTCAGGAAGGCTGACAAGCACCAGCTCATGGACTTCTGTTTTTACCTTCAGCCCCTCATACACATGCCAGTCTTGGGATCTGAGGTAGTAGGACTAACTCATCTTAGTCCTGATCTTCAGTAAGACTCTGTCACTGGGGTCCTACATCGTTTGTCACCTTTCCTCATGCTGTACCTGAAGAACTTTGCTCTTGCTGCAGTAGCCCCTACCCTGCAAATCTCAGCAGTGTATTGCTGGCTGATCTCATGTCGCAGAGAGAAAACACTCCTCACATAAGAACCCATCCCTCCAGACATGTAAAGCTAAGTCCATAAACTCACCGCTCATGAGCTTCAGCTATCTAGCTGCCCTTCTCCTTTCAGTCAGGATTTCTTGTGCTTGTTGCTCGTCATTTCTCCCCTTTCTCTCCCTCCTGGCTTTTACGTTTCTTCCACTGAGARCCACTAGCTATTTACTGACAGGGTAATGTGACTTTTCACACCAGCTCTCCATGTGCACTGCCCTGCAAACTGGGCTGGATAAATCCGCTCCCCAACCCCAGCTGGCTGGACATTTCCCCCCCCTTCCCCTCCCCTTTACACTAGCCAAGCGAAGGATTCCTCTCTCCCTCTCTCTCCCTCTTTTTCCATCCCTCCCGCCTTCAGCGCAAACCCAAGACGCAGGATCCTGCCGAGGGAAAGGGCTCCTTGAAATCATCACCACAGTCCCGGCTGCTGAAGTGCAGAGGAGGAGAGAGAAAAAGCCTCCGTAGCCAACCTCCTGTGGCTGAGGGCTTAATAGCAGGGCAATGGCTTCAGGCGCCCAGAGACTGTCGCTCACCTTTGTCCAGGGCGTGGGATCTGTCTTCTTCATCCTCCAGATCATCTCTGTTCAGGCTGATGGTGAGTCCCATTCACTCTGGGCTGGGTTATTATGACTGCGAGGAGAGCTGTATGTTGAAATGTGTTACTGGAAAAAAAAAAAGATTTTTTTTTTTATTAAGAAACTTAAATGCACGCCCCAGTTTGGGTTAGGAAACGTCTGATTCAGAGGTTTTGAGACTTTACAAATATCCTGGGGTTAAGGAGAGAAAGGAAATAAGATCCCAGAAGGCTAAGATTATTTTATTAGAACAGCAAGACAGGATAGTGAACTTTTCCAGAGGAAATAAGAATAATAAAGCAAAGCCGGAGCATGAGTAAGAAGGAGYGGTTATATTTCAGGAGAGCTTTCCTTCTAATTAAAAATATCTTTTCKCTGGACAACTTCCCCATCTGTCTATTTCAGAGTCCCCCCTGTCAGACCTTGATTAGTGCAGGCAGGTACTTAAGAAAGCGAAGACAAGATGTCAAAGGCTTTTCCTTGTAACATTTTCAGGCAGTACCACACGCACTCAAGGCAACTGCTCACCTTTCTGCGTACAAATTTCATCCTCACTTCAGCGCTCAGTGATCTGAGCAGAGCCCGAGTGTGGACGAAACCCCATCTACCAGTTACTTAGAAATGGGAAGTTTTCCTCGCTGACGATAATCCTGAACGGCTGCGTGCTCTGCGTGTTTCCAGTAGCCTGTTCCCCTTTTAATGAATAAGCTTATGGTAATGAAGATCAAATTGCCRTAGCAAAAATGGGATTTATTTTTAAAACAACTGTCACTTTTCTTGGGAGAGCCATGATGAATAGCCACATTTTTTTCACTTTCACAGCTGTGATAGATTTATGCTTGATCTACGGATTTTTTTTTTTTTTTTCAGTACACTAATCCTTTACTGTYGTTTTGCAATCTTATTTCAGAGAACAGTCCTTAAACATTATAGGGCAATAAAAAACTCTTCTTTTTGTTCATATCGTGTGTTTCCTCTCTAGCCTAAATTTTTTTCAGCTGATCACAAAATGAGGCAAAGGAAAGGAGGCAAATTAATCCTGCCTATGTATTTTTTCCCAGTCTGTAAAATATCATTTATACAGCAGAACCCCATCTGGTAAATTTGAGGAGAAATACTTTTCATTAAGAATGAAGAAGAAGAAAGGTGTCAGGCAGTTCTGTTGTATTATAATGGGCAAAACTGTAATTCTAGCTTTAGGAAATACCCTTTTACTAGCAAAATCACAGAAACATGRAAAAAAAAGCCTCCCTGTGAAAGAGGCTCCTCTGCAGAAATCAGAAAAGATGACAAGACAGAAGTAGTTATTTTTCMTTCATTAAGAGGGCTTCAGCTTAAGGATTCCCTTATCTGCCCAAGAGCACCTCCCAGCTCAAATTGCTTGTGTTAGCTGCATCTTCTTCCTTCCTAAACCAACATTCTCTAAGAGAGAAAGGGAAAAAATGTTGCAGATAATTTTAAGGCAGAGTTCTTGACTGAKTTTAATTGTCATTCAACAGTTTGTCAAATCTACCTTACATGTGGTAAAGTCATCATAAGAATTGTATGATAAAAGACATGAAAYATATTAATTGTAGAGCATTGTAATAGATACGTTGTAATAGATAATGATAGGACATTATTAAAATACTCCAGGTAGACATTTTTCATAATGATACTTAGAAATTAAATAAAAATGAAAAATCCTCTGCTAACATGCTATTCAGTGTGTTGTCCTAATAGTAATATTCAAGAAAACAAATATAACACTGTCCTATAAGCTACCTGGTTGCATTATATGTTTGTGCAGGAGAAAACACTTTATGCGAACATTCAACTTTACCACTACATTTAGGCTTACATATTAAGAAAATCTGAGAGTAGAAAACAGGAATAATATTTTCTTTTGTAACAGATACTGAATTGGCCCAAGTAGGAAGGCATCTTTTCATTTATGTAAGTTTTAGGGGAAAATACAACTGTGTTTGTTTAATGCAACTGTGCTGCTTTAATATCTCCAAATATCACTAAAGTGACAAGGGACAATTCTGGATAACACGTAACTAAAAGTAACCGAATATTTTGCGAACAGCTGAAGGGATTCTGAATTCACCTTGTAAAAGCCCTGTGAAATTCTGACTGGCCCCTATTACAGGCAAACCTCCAAAACTGGTTAGATTATATTTCTCTAAGGAAAACATTCACTTTATTATCTCACACACAAATCATGACATAGGGCAGACAATAAAACTGGAGACCATCGCAGTCTGGTGTGAAGGTGTAAAGACTTGGAGCTTAATTGATCTCTTTTGGCTAATATTTGCCACAACACATATATGCCATAGTGTAGATAAAATACAGAAAGGCGAAGGTAGATGCTGAAATAAAATCTGGCTTTGTTTTGCGCTGCCGTTTTTAACAGTTGAATTTTTCTTGGTAATATCTTGGGCGATTGGCGTCAGACAGATAGAAGGTTCCTCCACGGCCTATTCCTGCTTTAACTTAGTCTGACATATGTGCACAATGCTACCATGATTAGTGGAGTTGCAGGAGAATAGAATAGGTTGGCCAAGGGAGTCAGGAAAGATGTCCCAAAATGCAAAAATTGTTCAGCCCTGGTAGTGACTGGTGAGTTCGAGATTCATGAGCGGGAAGCCCAGAGAGCCTTATTTCCGCGCACAGGATTCACGCAGATCAGCAGCAGCATTCCTGGGTAACTTTCTGTCTAGCAGAATGAACTTCAGCTTCACTCCTTTAAAAACAAAGGTTTTAATTATCTTTGTGTGGTTCTTATGTTAACAGTTTTCAATTACAGCAATGTCAATGCACAATTTTTGAAACTTCTTTGCCTYTGCACTGGATTAAGGCAAAAATCTGGCTTCCTGAAGACTGTATAGGAACTGCCTTTGCTTTTCTTTGCTCCCTCCTTTTTGTCCTTTCACTGCAGCTAAATTATCCTTACTTATCGACTATAACTTTCCGCAGAATACTTGTTCTGCAGAAGACCAAGGCAGTAGGGAATGATGGGAATTAATCTATCATATTAATACACTCTTGAAGTGAAAAAATCAACTTAGTAATTGCRAAACTTTACAAATTGTTGCAGAGTGAAGTTATTCTATTGGCTAAATCCTTTCTTATATGCAAGACTCGTTACCTGAGCCAGTCGTTTGGTAGCGGCCATACATAGTGACTACAGAGGCTGCCRGTCAAAGCATCCTCATTCCTGACAGCTCAGCACATTTACATGATGGGCTGAGCTGCCTAGTTCTGACCCAGAACAACATATGACTGACTCCGAATTTGAATTTTGCTGGGATGATAGTATTTCTAGACATATCATGGTCTTGTCACCACTTTAATGTGCGCACGACTCCTGTTACGGCACACGTACATCTGTAGAGGGAAGGCTAGATTCAGTACTTCAGGTATGGGGTTTACTCTCTATAACCCCCTGCTAAGCAGAAATCAGAGGAATTAGTGATCAGAGGTAGTTAATAAATGTATTTTAATAGGAAAAAATAAAGGACTTAAATCCCTATTCTGAAAGAAGCTGTAATAAGAGCTGTTTAGATGCACATTATAATAATTAAGAAAATTATAATTAATTAATAATTTTGGGGGGAGAAATTTAGTTCTTCCCCACAAATAACTAATAAAAAGGGTAATTAATAAAAAAATAATAGTTTGGGGAGAAAAAAGCCCACTATACTCTTYCTTTATAAAAATGGTGTAAATCAAGATGAAAGAACTGAAGGAAGAGAAAGAAAATGTATGCTTTACTCTTCTCATATCTCTATATATTTGCATTGGAGTAGCAGATGTAAGCATTTCTGTTTCCCACTTACAAAGCAGAGTGAACCTGTTTATGTGCTACAAAAGTACACAGATAAGCAATCCCAACTGTTTGATCTCAAAGACTTTATGCAAATCAAAATTTCAGGTCAAAATTAATTTAGCTGAGGAGTTCTGCTCTCTGAGGAGAACTAAAACGTGTTTTCCCAATCTTGCTATTTTTATCATGATGTCATATTTTAAGAAAATAGAATTAAATAAAACATAAATAAAACATTTTAGTTCCTCACAGAAATGAACTCCACATTCATGAACACTAAGTAAACCTGGTAATTACCATTTTTTTTTGTCTATAATTTTTGTCTATAATTGCACAATTTTAATGAATTCACCTTCCTTTCTGGTACTACAATCCAAGTCATTGTTACACACAGCCATAGAAACAGAAATTAAGTTGTTCTTATAGCACAAAATTGATCTTCCCTTCATCTACCTTGTTTTTAAATATTAAAATTTGAAGGTTTTAATATTTAAATAAAAGTAAAACAGAGTCCAAAAAGGCAACTCTGGTTGATGCGTGTCATCARCTCAGCACACTGAGTGTACCTCTTGAAGTGCTTTCTTTTTATATAATTTATGAGGGAAAATTTTATTTTAAAGGATATTTGACTATGAAGCTTTATGTTTCTTCTTTAAGCATGATGCAAATCTTGCTAAAGACATGGAAGACTTTGAACTCACTTTAATGGGTTTTGAACTCTGCCTACATTCTGCAAAAGATCTTTGTGTTGTATCTGTTCTTGTATTAGCCAAACTCTGTCTCATTGGTAACCAAAAAATCCTACTAATTCCACTGGGATTCCTAACAGTAAAAAGCAACAGATTTTGGCCTGTTTTTATTTTAAAAGCTTCCATTTTAAGTTTGTATGTATCTGATTGCAGATGACTCTTCAGTCACAATAGCGTAAGGTGCAGTTGTTAAAAGCTGAGTTTAGCTAAATTTGAAACTCAAAATAAGGTGGGATGAGAGTAAATGAACCACTGGAATACGTCACTATGCAGCATGCTGTAAATTCTTCATTACTTGGAGTCATTGACTCATGACTAGATGCCTTTCTAAAAGACATGCTCTAGTTCAACCACAGATTTTTGGACTAGGTGCTGCGATTATGAGGGAAAATCTAGAGTTGATGTTACGCAGGAACTCAAACAAGGTGATAAAAACAAATCTTAGTGACTTTTGGACATACGCTTYTGTGGATACCTTTTAAGTCAGACTACATTCCTTGCTTTAAAAAGCAAACAAACAAATTATATTTAGTTGTTGTTTGCTGACAGTTCTGGTGCCAACAATAAAAATATTCTTTCTTTTGACAATACATAAAAAATATAATTAAAATCCTATAATAATAATTATCAGTAGAGGCTACATGTATTTAAAAAGTCTGACACTAATTGCTAAAGAAAGACTATTGGTTTCAGGCTCAATAACTGTAAGTCCARCTTTTACTGAACAGTAGGAAGAATTACCCCACGCTTCTCTCAGAGAACAAGCTAAGTTTTTCCAAAGTTGTGAGAAATTTAGACATCATCTCCCTTCATACATTTGCACTTATGCCTTATATTGAACTTAAAACTGTTCACTGGTTTCAAAGGGAAACCTGAAGAAGTTGCTATGACAAGAATGTTTTTCATTTTGAACCTGATAAACTCAAGATGTGCATGAAGTCTCCTGAGAAAGGCCATTTTCCATCTATTTCTGGCTTCATCTTGATACCACAGAGATCAGATTTGTTTGAAAAGGTTCCAGAGAAGTATATGTAATTTTGGGAACAAATTTCCACACCACCTCTCTTGTCATCACACAGCAAGAAGCAAATGTTATGAGGCATAAGCAGAAGAAGAGAACTGAGAGGGAGTTCAAACATAGCAGCAGTTCAAAGCTACCACAAACAAAAACATAGCACATTTTTTGAAAAATAAACAGATGTAATACTGCTACTACTATTGCCTTATGGAAATATAGTTCAGTCTCATATTTAAAACAGAATGACAATACATATCTTGATGTTATTGCAGAAAGAGAATTGGTCTCAGCCACTCTACACTATCTTGTAGTGTAGCCCTACACTATGGGCTAAAGAGGAGTGATAACATCTGATTTTTTTACAACCCCCTTACTGGAATTGACTGTATTGTCATAAAGTATTTCAGACAATCTTTTATTTTTCCTATCTTTTCATTACAACTAGTAATGTTAAAAAGTTTGGATGACTCAGCCAGGAGCGTTAGGACTCCAGCTTGAAGATGATAGAACTTTTGTGGTAAAAGTGAGAAAAATTCTATGTGTGAATACCTCAGGCATGCCAACAATGGTACTTAAAGTGTAGAATTCAAGGTCAGAATTGACGTTCTCATTTGTATTAGGGAATTTCCTATTTTGCTCTGCATTTATTATTCCTACTGTTGTGCTACTAAGTCTCCTCTATTCTCTAAATACCTCTGATGAATGAGTCACTACTCTGAATGCTGAATCCAATGGTTTAGGCGATCAAGTGTTCAGACAGGTGAACCTTACTTGGGATTATATTTTTTAAGTAACTAAGTAGGGAAAACATGTTAAAAAATGGGCAGATAGCCATGAAATTGCTAAAGCTTTGGGGAAGATTCATAGGTCAGTCTGGGAAACAGGTCAGCCTTCTTTATGCACCTCTGGCTAACCAGAATTTCCTATAAGGTAGTTCACTGTAATTTTCCCAACCAAAAATTCTTTCCTAGTTTACCCTAAAACCCATTTGTCTGCATATTTTGGACATTCTAGATACTTTTTTGAAGGATGAGACTGAGCTTGGAACCAGCATTTTCATGATTCCTAGTAAAAAGGTTRCCTTAAGTGCCAGCAAATGCAGAACAGTAGATAAGAAATGTTGTTTCAGCCTCAGTCTTGGCTAGCTAAACTTCCGTAAAAAAGTAATTGGCACTCATTAGTAAAAAGAGTAAATAATGAACTTTATTTCTTCAAACTATATCTTAATGGAACTTGGTCCTTTAATGATTTATTTTTCTTTAAGTCTTGTAACTGAAATACTAATGGCTGGAAAATAGGCATTCCTGCCACAAAGAAAAGCTAGCATTTATGAGTTAAATCAAATGCATCTCAGGCCTGACTCCCAAACTATGCAACACTGAACGTGGACGAGTTTCTATCAGGAAAATAAATCCCAGTTAAATGTTTTACATAAACCCTGCTTGCCTATACAARTGGAAGTTGTATAATTTTTTAATAATATTTTAAACAAATAGTTGTTTACAAGCAAACCACTTTAAAGTGGTCTRCTTATATTATCTCACTTCATATCCCATACATATTGTACTACAAATATTCATGACTTTAGAAACAACAGACTGGATTATGGTCATGTGCTTTTATTGGGACTTTTGCAAACAATCCTGAAGCTTTGGTACTTACGAGCATATAAGTTTGTTTTCTTTCACTGCTGTGTGTATATTCCCCCTATTCTAATTGTTATTCATAGTATTAATATAGCTGAGAAGGTAACWAGAAAAAAACATAGTCAAATATTGATGCAACTGGTCTATGTTTCTGGGTTGCATTCTTAGATCAACTACTGTCAAATTGCTTTGGGGATTTTGTGTTCCTTCTCAACACTGCTTGTCCTGATTATTTAGATTGGTATCCTCCTAAGCTAGGACTGACTTTTACTGTACGTATTTATAATTCCCAACAAAAGAGGAATTTTTACCGCATTTTGTGATAGTTAGCTAAATGCCAGTACAGAGCACATACTTGAAAGACGGCTTTTGCATTTCTCACTGTAATGATTGTGGGTTTTTTTCAGTGAGTTRAAGTGTGCGATCAGCTACAGACTATTTCCCAGTCTGTATATACAGTCATACACCCTTTTTCCTATATTTAGGATTAGTTTTAGATTTATCAATTGATTGAAATTATATGTGGTGGAAACGGGTCTCAGCACAGAGTCAGGCTGAATGAGGCTGAAGACACCTGGGGAGGTTCAGGTTAGATATTAGGAGAAATTTCTACATGGAAAGAGTGGTGAAGCATTGAAATAGGTTGCCCAGGGAAGTGGCAGAGTCACCCCCGCCCCGGCAATGTTCAAGAAACGTGTAGATGACCTTAGGAACCTTAGGAAACCTTAGGAACATGGTTTAGCAGGCAGGGTGTTGAAGGGTTTATGACTGGACTTGATGACATTGAAGGTCTTTTCCAGCCCTAATGATTCTATAATTCTATGACATTGGTCTTTATGTCCTATGAATATTGAGCTAGCTACATAATAAACATTTGCAGGGTGCTAGAAGCTGTGCAATCATACAACCACTGCCACTAATCTACTTTCAAAATAATACATAACAAGAGTTTCCAGACATTTATTGAATGAACAAACATTTGCTGAATGATCACTGCTTAAGAGACACCTTTAGGGACCTGCAAGCAACATAACTCTGTAGCTTTGAAATAAATTTGTAGATTTTAGGAAGCATTTGAAGTGGTGTTATCTTCCAAAACTACTTATGACAATTTAAATGTCAACACTGTAAGCTATCTCATTGTTTATTGCTTTTTTTGGAGACATGCAGTGAGAGTGTTTATTCCATTGCCCAGTAACTTCTGAAGCTTTATTGCCAAAACCCTAACTGCCCTGCTTCCATTTGCCAAAACCTCTAAGTTTCACCCTTACAACTTTTACAGTGGTAAATAAATTAAAGTAAAATAAACTGAAGGAAAAAAAAACACCAGAAATTGTTATGCTCAATCTGTTCTTGTGATCATTCAAAAAAAAAAAAAAAAAAGCCTTCCATTGAGAAAAAATTCTATCTTCCCAGAAAGATATGAAAAGAAAGTGGCTTTACAGTAGAGTTTAGGTACATGTTGCCAGAATTACATGACTTTCATTTTAGATAATAAGTATAAATCTATTTCTGATATGGGAGAATGAATTGCAATGCTGACTTTCAGATATGTTCTTTCTTTATACATAGTTGTTTTWAAAAATGTAACTATGACATATCTAGCAATGAATTCCAATGTCATATCCTAAAGGAGATGTTCTCACTTGGACTATTTAAGTGACATATAAAAGACAGTGTCCTTGTTTTCTTTCTCAAGCTTTTATGCGCAGACCTACAAAGACAAGAGAAGTTTCTCACATGGACTAGGAAAGAATAGGAAAACTATAGGAAAACAGAAACTTACTTTTCTGTTGATTAATGTAACTAAAAGAAAAGCTAAGCTAGAGGTATTTACAACATTAAAAGAATTAACTAATTCCAAGAAACAGACTGTCCTTTAAAATGGACTTATCAAAAGCAAGAAGATCTTATTTATTTGTTGATAATCTGCAATGCGTCTATTGAATGTGTATTGAGTATAATACCACAATGAGTGACATGTCCTTTCCTGGTGCTGCAGGGAAGGTGTTTGTGCTTGAGTCCAAGAATAAATCTCAGAGTCTGGACCTGGCTGAGGCTGAGAAAGCATGTGTGGACCTGGGTGCTCGCCTAGCAATCGCAGAAGAACTGAAAAGGGCTGTTCTGGACTGTTCTTTCGCTGGCTGCACCACAGGATGGCTGGCGGATGGCTCCACTGGGTAAGGAGAACAGTATAACCCTCTCTAACAAGTGAGGACGATTGTTGTCAAAAAAGTTTTCTTCTTTGACTAAGATTATTACTGAGAAACACTAGCCATGATTCAAATATCATGGTATATATTCAAATACCCCACTGTCTCCACCAAATCAATGTATTGTGTACAGCTAATATCATAGGGAAACAAATATATATCAGTCCCAGACCATGTAGTACATAAATCTAAGAATTTCCTCTTACTCTTTCCATCTGAATTACGTTGTCTCAGTTTCTTTTTTTTTCCTGGCCTATTTTGTGGCCTAAAAACACTTGCAGCCTATGAACATAGCACTGAAGTGTATCAGTGCTTCCAATGACTGTTATTTCAGACGCAGTATGCTGAACTTTTCACAGAAACTTCATATCTGTCTCAGATGTTTAAGCACGGCTAAGTAGGTATGTTTAAACAGTTTTTTACACAGTTAGGTGTGATAATACAAATGTGAGAATTTGTTGAGAAGGCTCACCAGAGAGCTAATGTTATTATGTGAACATGTTGAACTATGTTACTTAAGCCAACTCAGGTAATTCCACAGAGGAATTTGACGCTTTCTTTCACCATGGAGAAAGGCATCCATCATACCATCCATCATGCCTAACACTAACCTCATTCTACTGTCCCGACAAAGTCTCTTCGGGAAGCACTGTTGCTTTTTTAGAGGGCAGTTAATAGCAGGAATGCAATTTATTCAAACTGGAAATGGCAGAAATTGGTGGAAATGTTTTTTCTCTATTAATAATAGAGTAAGCTAAATTAGCCTTTTAATAGGCTAAGCTCGGTAGCTTCAATAGGCTACTTCAGTTGGCTAGAGTTAGCCTTCATGAACATTCCAATTGTTTCAATGACTTTCAGTGAGATTTAAGGTTTTAAGGACATATGTTTACATTTGTGCTAGCTTTGTGTCAAGGAGCAGCATGGTGAAATTATCATAGCAGTGTGCCTTGGCTAATGTATTCTCCTTTGATAGTGAAGAAGGCTTCTAAAACTCAAGTTAACTCATTCCAGTCTAACTCATGTTGCATGAGTAACTCACATAGTGCAGTGTTGGGCCAAGTACCTAGACCCCAACTCCCCAATCTCTTTCAAAATGAAGTATGTTTCAGCTTGCCTGAGGTACTGATGCTCCATATATCACAGACGGAAACCTTGTCAGAGAAAATTTAATACAAACAAGGAATTGAGGATCTTTCTCTAGATATAAATATCTTGTGCCACTGAAGCTGGAGACATTTGGAAATCCTCCAGAAGGGGCAAACAGAGCTAAAGTCCACAGGCTTCACTGTTGGAAGACTTTCCAGTAGYTCAACCTTAGCATTTTTTCATTCCCTTGATGTGCTTTACCAAGTTCTCAGGAATAAAGCATAGTATAAAATCTAATGCCAATGTAGATAAGATTTTGTTTATACTGTTCCCAGGTTACCCAAATTTAGAACATTATTAGGTTTGGTGTCAGTTACTAATTATTTTAAGAAAGCACTGGGTTTTTTTGTATGTATAGTGATAAAATGCAGTTTCCAAAGAACAGAGAAATGTTACTATTAATGAAAGCTGACATTTAAACAATTTCAAGCTTAAGCAATTATTTCTGTTCATCCTCTTTTTTTCCTAGATTAAAAAAAAAAAAAGCTCTAAAGACCTATCTTGGCTATAAATCTGGCATTCATATCTAAGAGTCAAAACTATTTAAGAGATAGGACATTGTGGTAGAATCTCAGTGACCATTTTCTTTGTGGCCAACACATCTGCAGTTTACTAGACTGAAGTTTACTAGACTTCACTAGACAGTATGGTAGGTTTCAGAGCTCTAGCAGGCTGGAATCTGATATTTTCTTCTCTGGGACTATTTCACCCATGGCTGAGCAAACACAAGAATGTATGTTACTGAGTCTTACTGAATATTTCTGACACTGAGCGAAAGAAAAAGACATGTATAATGCCTAGAAAGATCTAGAGTGGTTTCAGTTATTGAATATCTGGAGAAGGAAATATGCAGTGGAGTGCAAAATATTTAAATGAGATAAAGTTATTCAAATTAGACAAGCCCAAACATAATGTAACAGGAAGATTTCCAGAGGGATTTAGAGTAATGGCCAAAATAATGACAAATGGAGATCAATGTTAATCATACTCAGGAGGAATATGCATTCTATTTGGCAATATGTTTACAGAGTTCTTAGTTACTGATATCTACACAGGAAAGGAAAGAGAACATCAATATAAATAAAAAAGAAAACTTCTGTCAGTTTGCAACTATAAGGGAAAGGAAAGGAAAGGAAAGGAAAGGAAAGGAAAGGAAAGGAAAGGAAAGGAAAGGAAAGGAAAGGAAAGGAAAGGAAAGGAAAGGAAAGGNGAAAGGAAAGGAAAGGAAAGGAAAGGAAAGGAAAGGAAAGGAAAGGAAAGGAAAGGAAAGGAAAGGAAAGGAAAGGAAAGGAAAGGAAAGGAAAGATGGAATGGTAACTATAAAGATGTGTATCATGTAACATGTTAATGTTACATATTAAGGTTAACACCTCTTAGAAAAAAATACTAAAGCAGGCTCAAAAAGGAGATCAAAAATGATTAAATGCATGGAAAAAGCTAATAGATAAGGCTCAAAATATTTTATTGAATTAGTTTTTTATTTTTAAAATATTTCTACAAATGTCTATTCAATACTTTTGGCATTTATTTGATAAATGTAAAATAACTGTGAGGATAAAGGATAGCCTGTAAATACACACACCTTGATCTACGCTCTCCTCAACTGGTTTAAGAAGCAGAGAGGTAAACAGGCTTCACAGCATGCTCAGAAGGTTACAAAAGCCCCCCAAATACTTCCAAATTAAAGAACTCTTCACTAGGCACCCCTTGTCTTATTTATCTTGACCGAATTCCAGACCTTAGCTGTGGCATGGCTCAGAGAGAGAAGTGACCTCCCCCATCAACCAGATCTCAAACCACTTTTAGGGATTTCTAAGTTAGAACTAATACCTTGAATTCCATCCAGAAGCTTAATGGAATCCCATGCAGATCACAGAGCTTTTGTCTAATATTCTCCCATATCCTCTTAGATTGTTTATATTAGAAAGATGAATAGGAGGGAATGTGATAAAAGAAGTTCCTAATTTCAGGAAGAATGCAGTTTGTTTTATTTATTTGGTGCCTGGAAGATATCCTAATCTTTCCCTTGAGGAAAAATGGATTAGATATTGGCAGTAGATGTAAACAGGAACAAACAACATGAGGGAATTTATTGTAGACTTGACACATTWCAACCCTTCTTCCACCCCATAGACTCAGAACTGAACACAAGTTCTAGCTTGTATTTTTTCCACATCTAGATGATTTTTTGTGTGTTTGGTTTGCACCAGTGGAAAGATTCTATCTTTGGCAGCTGGAATTTGTTCACTTCTGACGGCTATTTTGTGGTCTTAGTGAATAATTACAACACYACTTCTAGTGAAAGCATCCATCACATTTGGCTGTTATGTCCTTGCTATCATTTCTGCAGCCAAATCAGGGACTGTATGCCCTTGGAAGTTCCTCTGTTATGACTGAGACACGTTATTGAGTGAGTGTGAACTTATTTGTACCATCTGCTACCTGGGCTCCATATCTAACATGAACAAAGATAAGAATTTGGTCTGAAGATCTGACATTCTTGAGGTGTCTCTAAGTTACATTTCTGATGATCCATATGTAAATATGTAAAGATTATGATTCTATAATGGGACATCCTCTTTTGGATCCAAATAGGTTTGTGACAACACAGCTCACTACTTTTTACTGACCCACTGTAGTGACTATTGCCACCTCAGCAGTGCTGGCAGAGCTGCTTTTCTCTTGTCTGTTTTCAGTTAGAAGTGAACATGGAGGGCAACCAGCTATTACTTAGGGTATTAAAAGAGGTCATTCTGTAGAGAATTACAGCAGTGGAGGAAGTGGAGCTGCTCATGGAGGCAATCTCTAACCCATTTCAGTCCCCACAGACTGAGTTAGTTACACAGTAGGACTTGACTGTCAACATGATTCACTTCAAATGACACGGGGCAGATACTGCTTAAGGAAATAGTTCCTTGACAGCAAATCTGAAGAGGCAATAAACTCACTGGTGATATGGTTTGAGCAGCTTAGAACAGAACTTCTTTCTGGGACATAAGCTGATATCTTTTGTGCCACTTTGAAAAGCTCAGACCAAACCTATTCAGACTTCAGGGYTGTTCACACAGTTAAGTCTGCTAGCAGGTCCTAGGGTTTGGAAACTTTGAGAAAAGAGCCACTGATGAATGAATTGGGGTAGAGGTTAAATGGTGACTTCTTCCACCAGCCCAGAAATTAAGTTTAGGAGTCAGTTTTAAAATATGTAGTGTATAAAGTACCACACAATGTTGCACTTCAGGAAATGAAATGCTAGACATCTCATTTGTCAAATTAGAATGAACTCGAARAGCTATTTATACAAAAATGATGTTTTTAGTATTTATTTACATATCAGACAAGTGAGTCAGTAAAACCAGCAAGTGAACTGCTAGAAGATAAATGAAAAAAGGCTGTAGAGTTCTTTGAAAGACTTTCACTGCTATCTATTGAATTGGAAATTGGAATTGTCAAATCGGAAAGCTSTGTGTCAAATCCTCCAGCACTGGGCAGCATATTCTGTAGGATTGCAGTCTTATGTTCATTTTCCATTTTTTTTAAATATATTTGGAAACTTTACATGACACMATTTTTCTTACAATCAGCACTTCTAATTTTGCACATACTGTTGGAAAGCAGCTATTATTTATAGAAAAAGTAAACATCCTCAATGGCTTATATTAAGATGCTCATAGCAAATTTAATCATTTTCCATCACCTTTCTAGGACTGAAAAGCTGAACCTCTCCTATTTCCTGTCCTGTTCCTTACTTTTTCTTCAGAAGAATGAAGTCTCTAAAGCTCCATATAGCCATTCTAAAAGTTGCAACTTGGAAGCTCTGTTTG